TGAGGCTTAAAACATGTGCCTTGCACTGTCTTTCATTACGAGCTTAACGAATTCGTCCTACTTTTCCTTTAGCAAGCGCCCATCTTCATTTTAAAAGTCTATTACTAATGCAAATCCTCCAGACAGCGATGTGGTGCATCCAAAGGACAAATTCTGGACTGGGTTTAGCAGCAAGTACTGAAATCATCGTGAGAAGAAAAATTTTAAAGTGGGGGACTGCGAGGAGGCAAAGGGAGAAGAAGGTGGGCGAGAAAGCATAGCAACGAACCATTTTGCGAGCATTTTGCATTCATTAAGTAAAAGCTTATGGATGAATTCGAATCGCATCCCAATATTTGCCCATACAGAAACAGGACATTTTCGGTGACAGTGCTCCTAATTTGCTGCTCCCATCATCTTCCAAGGATACTTTTAAGGATACTATACATTGCAACGCGCATCCAGCAAGTGTCAGTTTGCTGATGCGCTACGCTCATCCATGTACGGTGTCCAGAGTGCTGTAGTTGCACAGCAACACCAACAACAATCGCAATCACCGCAGCAGCAGCAGCCGCAGCAGTTTCCGGATTTATATTCCGAACTCCAGAAGTCCGGCATTTTCTACGAACCAGAAAACATGCCTCGAAAGGTGGAATATGCTGTATTATTTGTTATTATTTTGCGAACCGTATTCCTAAGGTCTTCGGGAAATTTTTACCAAACTGCTGACGAGTGCTTGAATAATTCTTAGATTTATATTCTGAAATATCAAAATGGCTAAGACAGTTCAGATAGATGTTGTGGGGACAAAACATTACTAGGATGCGCTAGCACGATTAGTGCAGCTGTACTAAGCCCTTCGTTTTTAAACTGCTACTTCTGTTCAGTAAGCACAGCCTATTCGATCATGTGCGTCACTGTTCGGAGGTCACTCGAGTGGTCATTTGGTTTCTCGCTAGTACCACTCAGTGAAAAGTGTGTTTGAAATTCCAGGGGCTGTTTGAAATTTGTTTTGTTTTACGCCCTCATCGAATCAGCTGGCGATTTACCCATCTTCATAGAAAGTGAATAATAAAAATTTTATAAAATCGATATCCCAAAAAACTGCTCATAAAAGGCGATAGCATTCTGTAGTAGACCAAGTAGGTAGCACGTACTAATATAAGCTACTTGCTGGGAAGGCTATCGATGGTTCTCTCTTTCGGAGTTTGTTAACAAACAAACTGAAGATGGATTTGAATTTCTGACATATGCCAAAATCAGTTTGCCATCACGAATGAACGAATCGTAGAAGGATTGGTTGTCGCATTGGCGCAATCGAAACTTTCGATCTTTGGCGTAGGAATAGCACGGAATAAACACATAACATTATAAACCAAATGTATAAGATCATATCAACAAGCGAAAACTGTGTGAATGTGTTGGAAAAAAAAAGTATCTGCCTTTTCCATACGCTAGTGGTAGTTTAGTTCTCTTAATGCTTTAGTGCAGTACTTCAGATCTACTACAACGAACTCAAATCAATCTTTTTTCGCATTAAATAAGTGCTGTTTTGTTTTGCGCACAAAAG